CAATTTTTGAACAAAATTAGGTCAAAATTTATGCTTAAAATAAAATGAGCTATGTCCAAACTTAATCTTGCCAATATGCAAATTAATCATGGATTTGACAAAAGGGAGTTGGAAAAATAAATTAACTATCCAATGATAAAAAATTTTCCAACTTGCATACTTGTGTAAAATACCAAGATTACATCTTCCAATATGAAGATTAATCAAATTTTACTCACAAGTAATTGAACTTAATGGATTTTAATCAACCAAAACAGGAAAAAATCCAAACTTTGTTCAACATGGAATTTAGGGTTAGGGTTCCAATCATTTAAACCTTTAAAGATTAGAACTTTAAAATTACTTGGGAACTTAAAATACAAAAATCACAATAAGTTTTCACACCTTATTGCAATTTATTTGCAAAATTTGTGAAAAACAAGTTTATGTGATAAATTGGTATATCAACTTAAGCACTAATAAACACTCCATTATTAAGCTCAAGGATATTTTAAAACCAGTAGATTAGTGATGCAAATATGCATTTAATCTAACCTTGTAATGCTTGCATTAATCAAGGCTTAAAAAGAATTAAAATTTTCGTTGAAAAACGAAAAACCCCAGAAAAATTGGGTTTCTGGTTCAAATTTGGCTTCTGGACAATCCTGAAAGAGTTGAAACAGTTCCAGAATGTCGATTCCACCCAAAAATCACTATTTTTGAGCCAAAATCTGGGTTCGACAGCCAAATCGAAAATAAAATCGAGTTTTAAAAATTAATTAAAACGAGCATCTAATCTAATTAGATGAACATGAACCAGAAAATTAAATTCTTTAAAACACCTTAATTAAACAATAATTGCAAAAATTAAAAAGAGCGTGGTTCCGATATCGCTGTAGGGTTTCGTAGTGACCCGACACTACGCGGAAGGAAACCCACCAAGACCCGCCCCTTAATTAAAGCAATTAAACAAGCATAATAAACTTAATCAAACAAGATTAAGGACAAGAATTATACCTTTGACGCGTGCTTCGCTCCCAAAGAGCTCTCTTACTTCAAAATCCCAAAAAGACGAGATCTCCGACGGATCGTACCCTCGACCCGACCCGAGCGTCCTAAGTCTTGAAGGTTAGTCAAGACCCGGACAAAATAAACTATGAGTTTTACGAATCAAAGGTTTACTCTTTTCTTAGAGTTGCCTTTTTAATTCCACTCAAGGTTGTATCAAATCCCAATACCAAGCTTGGTATTTATAGGGAAATGACCCCTTGATTTCCAATCTCCCATCAATGTGGGAGAGTTGGTAAAATGACAATTATTTAATTTCCAAAATTAAATAATTAATCAACTCAATCACAAATCGACACTTGGCTCAATTATAGAGAAAGCCAAGTGAGGACCAAGGCTTGGGGGGACCATTGCCTTGATCCCCAAGGCCATGAATTGGTCCCCACACACCATGCCCAAAACCGGGTCAAGGTGTGCTAGCTGGCTGCCAGCTAGTGTGCCAGCTGGGGCTGCCAGCTAGCGTGCCTTGCTGCCCAGCACCCAGCCAGCCAGCCAGTGCACGCTGCTGCTGGGCTATGCTAGTGCTACGTGCTGGCGCTGGGCATTGCTAGCACCTAGTGCTGGCACTGGCCCCCAGTAGCCCCACGCACACACGCACACTCTTCGCGCCTCATTGCTAGCACAGCCAGCATGCGTGCTGCTAGCGAGCCACGCATGCTGGCCGCACTGTCCCTCGCACCATGCGCACACACATGCCTCCCAGCCCACATGCATCAATGCGCCTGTAGTGTGAGGCTGCTTGTGTGAGGCCTAGCATCATGCTGGAGCCCAGGCTCTCGCATGTGGTGCGATGCTTGGTGCTGCCATGCGAAGGCTAGCACACAAGCATCCACGCACATGGTGCGCCATTGCCAGGCAGCCAACCATGCTAGCACTTGGTGCTTGCGATGGTGCTGCCATGTCAGGCACGCACGCACGCATCACCCAGTGCTTGCCATTGTGCGCCTGGTGCCTACGATGGTGCTGCCATGCCAGGAAAGCACGCACGCAGCACCAGGGCCTGCGATGGTGCGCCTGGTGCGCCCATTGCTGGTGATAGGTGCCATATGCACCCAGGCACCCACGCCAGTACGCTGCTAGCTGCGATGGGCTGCCTGGTGCTTGTGTGGCTTGCGATGGCTGCCATGCGCACCCAAGCACCCATGCTAGCATGTTGCTAGCTTGCGATGGGCTTCTAGGGCGCGCCTAGGCTGCGATGGTGCCTAGCACACCATGGTGCGCCTAGCACACACATGGTGCACCTAGGCTTGCGATGAGCTAGCCTAGCCTAGCTATGGCTACGCTCATACTTGTCGATTGTGATTTTGTGATGTTCGGTCTCGACGCCCTAGGCTCGATTTCCGACGTCTGTATTCGTAAAACTCTGTTGACTCATTAAATCCTTTCGGATTAATTCGTCGTCTCGGATCGGTGATTCGATTGGGTTCGACCCGAAGGGTTCAGTAAAGATTAAGCTGTAATATCAATTGTACCTCGATATTACTGATCGGAAGCGGCCTCCACCTAGGCATTCCGATCACTTGACCTTACTGAAGAATTAGCTCTGTAATAATTCTGAACCCTCTATCGGAAGAATACACTTGTTGGAAGGACACCATTCCTTTCAAATACATATTATTTGAGCGATAAAATCATAAATTATATAATTTCAAAAGGAAAAATGGAAACTAATAATCCTACCTTTGGGTTTTCTGCTCAAAACAATCCCACCTTTTCGAAATCCCAAAACAATCCCACCTTTAACCCCCATCTGCTCAAAATGATCCCTTTTACCCATAACCTGTTTAACAGGTTGATTTTTTTTAATTTCTTAAATCTCTCCACCCTAACCTCCTCAATGGCAACTCCACCACTATCACCACCCCTCCATAACCAGACCACCACTTCATTAACACCACCACACCACTACTTGACCCAACCTCGCCTGGTTCAGCAGAACCCCCCACCACTGCACCACACCACCTAACTTCGCCGCCTGGTCCAGCAGACCCCCCACCCAATCCCTAAACCCGACCACCCTTAAATCCTAAAATTCGTTTTGCCTTCGCTTTCTCTACCCCAGCTGACCCCTTCACCTAACTCTAATGATCCACCTGACCTCCACCGCGTACTCCCAACCATATTCCAGGCCACCAAATCGGCAAACCTCACCTTCTCCCACTTGGCCCACGCGAAAATCAAGGTCTGTTTTTCCGTAATCGCCGCCGTTGCGAACAACAACAATATAGTCTTATCTCGAAGTTATTCCGATCTAAATCGAGTGTTGTGAGAATGTGAGCTCATCGTCGATTTCGGTGTTGGACCTCGCGAGTTTTGCGTTTTGTTTGAGTTCGTTGGTGAGAGCTTCGACGGCGAGTCGGTATCACAGAGTATGCTAAGTAGGTTTGCTCCGGCAAGGAGAGGGTGGTTGTAACGGTGAGCGGCTGGTTCGGCAGGGGCTCTGGCAAAGGAGGGTGGTTTAAACAGCGAGCTGCTGGTCCTGGGAAGGGGAGAGAGGGATTTTTTTTAAATCTTTTATTTGTTTTTTAATTTTTTTTTAAACCAATCAAAAGGTGACACGTGGCAAGTCTCCTTCTAAAACAGGTTATCAATATTACAAAACGATAAAAGGCTTGTTTTGAGAAGATGGGGGTTAAAGGTGGGATTGTTTTGGGATTTTGAAAAGGTGGGATTGTTTTGAGCAGAAAACCCAAAGGTGAGATTATTAGTTTCCATATTTCCATTACAAAAAATAAGCGAACAATAATAACTAATGAAAATAAATAAACGCTCTCAAATTGATGTAAAAATCAAAGTATTTAGTGTATTATCATTGAACATGAAATATAATTTAAAGATAGCAAAGTTGGTAATAACATTAATTCAATTGTTATTGGTGTTGTGTTCAAACCTTGTAGTAAACATTTTTATTGACATTGAAATATATTTATAGTAAAATGGATGATGTGTCATATTACGGTGATGTGGCGTACTTCTAATACATGTGAAGGGTGCCACGTGGCACATATCTTGTATTAGCAACGCTTTTTAAATTAATTAATATAGAAGTAAAGATGATAGCAACACTCCAAATGATGAAGGGACTCCATTGTAAAGGAATTCTAATGTTTGATTTGCCCCAACAATTTCAGAAATGAAATGTTGTTGAGGTAACAACTTGGGCATGTACTGTGAAAATAATTAAACCCTTCCTGATGGAGTTAACCAATGAGAATTAAATTCCTAATTATGAGGTCAATACACTATATCATTTATTTGATCATTGGTTTTTCAAAAGGCCTCATACATGACATAACAGGAAATATACTCCTAACACAACACTTAGCACAAAGGATCTGACACTTGACTGCCTTAGACTATACACATAATGTTTAACAAAATACACATAACCAGTTAACATGAACCTAAAAAAAAACCAAAATACTCCCAAAATATACTACTTAGCCATAGGAAATGACTAATATGTTACCATTACTTGCTTCTTTCTTCATTGGTTATGTGTGGCACTGCATGTGTTGATTGTTTGGTGACCCATACTTTGATTAGTCAGCATCCACCTCCATTTTTGTGTCCTCCACATGGCCTTCAGAAGTTGGTATGAAAAGAGTGTTGAGATAATTCACAGCATATTCAATGAGTTCCCTTGGTACCTCCAAATATTCAGGGAGAATTCCCAACCTGTCTAACTTCTTTTTGGCTATATGTGGAGGATTAAAATTGTTACCACCATCCTTCTCTAGGATTTAAATCATGACTGCTTGCATACTTATCCATGTGTACTTGTTTAGAGTTAGATCAAACTCCCCATATGCTTCTTTTACTTTCTCAATAAGGTCATCAATATTCTTAGAGAAAGATTGGTGTTGTAAAGATTGAATGACTTTGAACAATCCTAAGTCTAATACATTTAAATCTGGACTTTGTGCTGGCTGGTATACTAGTTGTATGTTGAATCAATTTGTTTGACATGCTACTCTGAACTCATCATCCATTGGGATTTGATGAGGCTTAGCATTATCCCACTGAATTATCACATCCTTTGGTAGACTTTCAAGCCATTGTGTCTGTATTGCTGGAATTATATGCTTCATTAACATTTTCGTGATGGCTACTTTGTTGACACTCTGGACATTTTCTGTTTCAAGAGTCCCTGCCTCCCTGTTCTTGCCCTTTTTCTTTGCCCTTGTGGTGTACACAAAAAAATATCCCATACTTTCTTGAATGTAGTAGCTGACCAGTTGTGATGTATAGGGGCTTCCCTATCATCTCCATAAACATAGCCTTAACCTTGAATCTTTTTTATTGCTGGCACCTGTATGGGTTTTCCTTTTTTGGAAGGAGATAAAACCTTATTTCCTTTAGGTTCAAGTAGAACCATTTTTCGTCACTATGTATAACTTGTTGCATATCAACAAATGTTGGATTTGCATCTGCTAGTATGGGATTTATGTGAGCTAAAGCCCACTTAATCCTTGCAATCTTGTGGTTAGAGGTAAGGGCTGAATGGTTGCTACTTTTGTGTGTTTTGAGCCTCCCCTTCTTCCTTAAATTATGCAATGTGACACGAGAAATTTTCAAAGCTGTTGCATAGCTTCTTTCAGTGGTCCTATTGTATAGTGGAACTAACATCAACCAGTCATCTGAATATTCTCTTGGTTTAGGACAACATCTGCGCAATTTCGTGGACCTGACATCAATTACATTCCCCTCATTCATTTTTTGCTTGATGCTCTTGAATAACCTTGATAATGTTGACATGTACACATTGAATTTGTTTGCTTGTTGAGTCGGAAATACCCTTGGCAATTCACCATCTATCATTGTTGACAGAATTGCATTAACAATTTGTCTTTTCTGCTCAATTGTTAGATCTTTTTTGTCAAAGTTTGGTGCTCTTCCATGTGGGATGTGTTGGTTGGTTGCATGGTCATTTGCTTCATTATCTTCTTCATTTGCTGTTTTCAATGTGGCTTGAATTTGAAAATTAATTCATGTCTTCTTCTATGAGTAGTTGTTGAATTCCATAGAATTCTTCTTCATAAAAATCTCCCATTTTGGCTGTTTCACTTCTTCTGTTTCAGATCAAGAAGGTGATGAAGTAGAGCTGGCATTTTTTTGGACAACTCAAGCTGAACCGAAGCATGTAGATATGCTAATGAAGATGATAGCTTTTGGGTAATTAAGATAAGCTCATTTTGAATTTTGGTACCTCAAAAATGACCCCTATTGATTTTTGGTACCCATTTAAAATTTTATTTTATTTTATTTTGGTACTCATCAAAGTTACGAAATATAGGTTTTGGTACCTGCGTCCAACTTCCATTAAACTTTCTGTTAGTGGGGCCTTGCCACCTTCCAGCCACCCCTTAGCCACCTTCAAGCCGGTAGCAACCAGGCACGCAGCCACCTCACCTCGCCACCATGACTTTAACCACCATTAGCCGCCAAATTAACCACCAACACCTCCGATTCGCACCACAACAGCCACCAAGTTGAGCGGTCACACACAATTCGCAGTGGCGCCGCTCCATCACATCACCGTCACCTCCAATTCGCACTAGCGCCGCTCCATCACACCACCACCACCAAAACTACCCCCTGAAACACGCACCAGCCATCCCCCGCAAAATAACCATGATCACCGACCATCTCCTCCACCGCCGCACAACGACAACTGGCCCCTAAAACCCACCTGAAACAACCCAGAAAACCACCCGCTTTCTGGGTTGTTTAAAAACCCTAAATGGGTTTGGTTTTACGGGTTGTTTCAGGTGGGTTTTAGGGTTTCGGGGGCCAATGAAAAAGGGAGGGTGGTTGTTTCAGGGAGGGAGTGGGCCGGCGAATAGGGAGGGGGGTTGTTTAACCGAACGGTGGTTGTTTTGGAGGGCCAGCTCTTGTGTGGCTGTTTTACTACTATTGCGGCTGAGATCGAAGGAAGGAAAGGGAGGAGGTGGGCTCACCGGCGCTTGGGGAATGTTTGGGCACCGGCTGCCGGCACAAGGAGGGGGAAGGGTGGCTGACGGGGAGGGTGGAAGTGGCTGGTTGTTTTTTTTTTTTTCTTTTTTAAGTTTTTTTAAATAAATTAAATTATTAAATAATTAGATAATGGACCCCACTTACCGGAACCCTAACGGATTCTATTAAGTGGTACCAAAACCTATAATTTGTAACTTTGATGAGTACCAAAATAAAATAAAATTTTAGATGGGTACCAAAAATCAATAGAGGTCATTTTTGAGGTACCAAAATTCAAAATTTCCTTAAGATAATATTAGGAGTAAATTAGTGCTAGCTTTTGTGTTTTAAATGTGGATGTAATTTGGTTAGTGATATATAGAACATGGTGTGTACTTTTGAAATTCTCAAACTTGTTTATGTGCTATAGTATTTATACCCTCCTTAGCAAGTGAAAATTGCAAAGAGGGAAAAATTTGGAGGTGAATCTGAAAATGGTACTAGAAAAGTAAAAATTTGAAATTTGGTGAAAATTTTGGGAGGGAAAAGTACATCCTCCCAAAATCAGATTGGAAATCCTTTTTTAAAAAGTTTTGTAGGCCCACACTCTTTCCCTCCTTTTTATTCTTAATCACATGACTTTATCTCACAATTAACAACTCTTAAAAGTTTTGCATTGGAGTCCGCGTGCAACCCCTTTGTTGCTATTAACAATTAATGGAGGAAGTACAATATTGTTTGTTTTAAACAAGAAAAAGAATCAACCACCACAAAAACACCATATAGCTACCAACTCACTTCTCTTTTCCTCTTCTTTCGCCACCGTGAAAATGTTAAAAAAAATATTTGATTACTTACAACAACAACAATATAAACAACACCAAAGCCTTAGTCCCAAAATGATTTGGGGTCGGCTAACATGAATCGTCATAAGGAATCGTACGCTATAAAGAAACGGACATAATAAAACCATCATTTAAAATAGTTTGAAAAAAAGGTGAGTAAAGTGAGTAAATGAAAGACCATTTAAGAAAAATTAAGGGAGTTTTAAAGGAGAATAAAAAATAAAATTCAAGAAAGTTTTAACAGAATGGTTAAAACATTCAAATTGAAAACATAAAGGTTTGGGAAAACTTTAGCAAAGAAAAATAATACAGTTTATAAAATTTTTAGTTACTTATTTTGTACACATAAGAAAACAAAAATTTTCCTCAATTTGTACAAAAGAGAAATAATGATAACATGATGTACCTTGGTGCACATGTTGTATAATAAAAACTATCACCAGTGGCGGATCTTAGGCCAAAAAATTAGGAGGGCCAAGGTTTGATCCTTAACATTTTGTTCAAATATAACCCTACTTAACCACTAGGGGTGAGAAAAAAGTTTGAGTACTCGGAAGTGGAACAGGAACCGATTAGAAATAGGCGGGTCTAGAACCAAAATTGGACCCGGTGGTTCTAATTCCGGGTAATAAATTAAGGAACCGGTTGCAACCGGTTCTAATTCCAATTTTCGATTTTTTGGATTTGAAACCAGTTGGGTACCCGGTTACCCAACATATGTTACACTAAATAAGTTTTCAAAAATAAAATTATGTTAAATGTATCTAGTTAGTAAAATAAAAAAAAAATATTATTAATACCTAACATAAATAAAATTGCTTAAGGTATATTTAAATACAAGTGTTAAATGCTAAAAATGAAAATAGACTAAAATAAGCATTATAATTTATATTATATTTTAACAATTATATACATAAGTGGGTACCCGAAACCGGTACCCGGTGTTTTCAATTCCAAGTCCTAAAATTTAGGACCCGGTTGAACCAATTCCAATTTCGGTTCCGAATTTTAGGAGCCGATCCCAACCAATTCCGGGTCCGGGTCCTAAAATTTTGATCGGGTACCCGGTTTGCTCACCCATATTAACCACTATGCCACAACTTGTTATATGCAATAAATAAACATCAAATTACTTTTAATGAACTACTCAAAAATACATAGGAGGGTCGGGCCCTTGCCAACCCTAACAAAGGTTCAAGCTTATACACTTTTGTTACTCCTATGATCACATTAATAAATTAAATTATTGAGATGCATAATTAAGTAACCCCTCTGCATTTTATTACTTGCTCTAATTTCCTTTTGCGGTCGTATATTATTACTTGTTCCATTTCATTTTTTGGAAACATTTAACAATATTTTATTATTTTCCTTCCCACTGATCCCCTCATATCATATTTTAATATTTTCCATATTCTCTCTCCTCCCACTTGTACCCATTTTTGCTATTTTTTTTCTAAAGATTTTATTTATTTTTCAACGAACTCCACTTCCATTATATTTTAACTAGTTTAAGTCCCGTGCCATGCACGATTTTACTAAAGTTTATAGTGAATTATATTGAAACAATTATGTACCAAAAAGAAAAAAAAACAAAGTACATTTTTTAAAATTAAAGAAACAAAATAGCTAGAATTCTAATTTATACCCATGCTAAAAACGTCAAGATTATTGATGCAAAAGACTTAACAATAAAATGAAATGAAATAAATTTATGAGGTTTTATACGGGCTTGCCCCAATTTTTCAAGTTGAGAAACATCAATGTTTCTCAACATGGCAAATTTGGTAAATAATAGCAAATTTACTAATATTTTATTATATTTTGTGGCTGACTCACCTTGATCCTCCTCCTTTTCCTTCAACCTTTCTCATCTCCTTCAACCTTTCCCATCATCAATGGATGACAAACTCCGACACCAAAACAAACACCATGACCAGCACCACTAACACCCTAACAAACCCCAAAACCAAGCACCACCATCTTCGGCGGCTTCACCGCCAAATTGAATGAAAAACCTTAAGAAACATATAAAAAGTTAGGGCATGATTAACCCCAAATGGTTAGTGTTTGTCGTTTTTGTGAGTTTTCCCTCCTTTATTAACAATTCCTCGACCTTCAATCATCCATTGTTGAAGAATTCTCAACTTCCATTGTTGAGGAGAGAGCATTAAGTGAGTATGCGGGTTAACAATTTTGCTAAAATGACACAACTAACCTTGCTTGTTTGAATAAAAATACGAAAATGCCCCTTTGAGAAACATACAATGTTTCTCATGTTGAGAAACTTGTATTTTCTCGTGTTATACTACCTGATTAGGGGATTTTTACCTCGCCACGTGGACCAATCAAGACCTTCCACCTGTCATCCACGTGGACCAACCAGAGTCTGCCACGTGTCACTTAGTGAAGAGTCTAAAAGGAATGGTGTCCTTCCAACAAGTGTATTATTCCAATAGATGGTTCGGAATTATTAGAAAGCTAATTTTTCAGTGAGGTCAAGTGATCGGAATGCCTAGGTGGAGGCCGCTTCCGATAAGTAATATTAATGCATAATTAATATTACGGCTTAATCTTGACTGAACCCTTTGGGTCGCACCCCAATCGAATAACCGATCCGAATCGACGAACCAATCCGAAGGATTAGATGAGTCATTAGAGTATTACGAACAAAGACGTCGGATATCGAGCTTAGAGCGTCGAGACTGAGTGTTGCAAGTCGATTCGAATTTAGAATTCAACGAGACGTGAAATCAATCAAGCGACAAGTTTGAGCCTAGCCGTAGCCTCACATTGGCCTAGCCATGCAAGTGCTAGGCTAGGCGAGGTCACCAAGCCATGCGCATCATGGGTGGCTAGCATCCCCTAGCACACGCACATCGCATGGCACAAGCGTGCATGCGTGTGGTGTGGTTGTGCATGCGTGGCTAGGTGTGCTAGCATAGCAGCGCTATCCATCACATCATGCTAGGCCAAGCACCAAGCCCTTCGCTAGCCCACAAGTATCGCAAGGCCAGCAGT